GTTTTTTTTTTTTTTTTTAAGAAAGAAAAATTAAGTTTAGAGAAAAAGATTACTTAGTTGAAATTTTGTCATGAAAACAGTAAGTTAAAAATACCAAGATAAGCCTCTAATTTCTTGGATACGAAGTAGAAAACCACTCTTCCTAGCCAAAACAACCCAAAAGGAAAAAGATTTCTGAGTTAACTTGGAAAATAGAAACAATTTTATTTCATTTGTGAATTTGGGGATAGGAAAAGACTAATAGGTCTTGAGAACATTTTATTTTATTTTATTTTTTTGAGGACCATTGAGAACATTTTAATTGACTAGAAAAGAGGTATATCGCATATTATGGAACATTTAAGATATAAGAGGAAACTAAAAGTTTTCTATTTTGCAGTTTACACCAAACTATAAAACATAATTCATTAGATGGGAGGATAGCTTTCAATATTAAGAGATTTGCCTTCTATTTAATAGTTTATATTATGCAATTTGATATAGTTTGAATTGTATAATACTTGTTTGAGAAAATAATTAGAATTGTTAATTGTAAAAATCTCATATCCATTTCTTTTTTCCCTTTTTGCCCAACAATACCACATTAGTTAAGTATGAAATTTCTTGCGGTTTTATAGTAAAATAGAGTTTCTTAATATATAAGTTGTCAATTGGTTGTAGGTTGTATAATTTATGACTTATAATTAACTTAAATGTCTACCAAAACAACTAATTACCTTCTGCTTTTTATGACATAGAATTGTAAACTTATCATATATATTGATGTATCACTAAATGAGTGGATGAAAATAATATCACAAGTGAGTTTCAAAATAAAAGATTTAATCATATAATGACATGTCATAATTATTAACTTACAATACCACATATTATTATAAGTACTATATCATTTTTTTTATATGTCAACAACTAATTAATCACCTTTAAATAATTAAATTTCATGAGATGAAAATATTAATATAAGATAAAGAGCTGATAAATATTTTTTCTTTTTGGCTTACATCTACATATATTGCAAGCATTCCCAAATTTTTAAATATTTAGGTTATAATTTGCAAGCAACCACATGTTCCCAATTTTCTTTTTATTGGATAGTTGTAGTGCTTGAGATTTAGGCCTTTTCCCCCCATATTTCCCATATTTCCACATATGAGAGAAGAATATAAAGGACATGGCACTTCCTAAATTTGGAATCGCACTTTTAATTTCACGTGTATCTGCAGGCCACTATCTCTGTAAATATTGGACAAATCTCCACTTATTGGTGGCTTTTATAGCCTATTGGAATTTATTGTACCCAAATGACATGGAAAGATTCAAACTTTGCATTTCATCAAGGGTTTACTCATTCCTTAATTACCACTTGAGTCAAACCCAACAGCATGTGGTTTTCATAACTTTATGTTTGGCAAGAACTATTTTTTTTCTTTATCTAATGATCAGCAATGTTAACCTGAAACTTTATGCTTAGCAGGAACTGATGGTTAAACGATATTGGAGTTGAATCTTAACTAGGGTGTATTGTGTTTAGCAGGAACAGATAATGATTTATGGTAATCTATCTGTTTGTTGACCTGCATTTTTATTTAAGACTTGTGAAAGATATAGACCAATCCACGAATGGTTTCAGCAGAATTGATATTATGATATATGGACAAACTAATGTTCCTCTGTGCATAATTAACTTTTGGGTTCAAATAACCAACGCTCCTTAATGCAGTGTTGATATATAAATCATGTTCTTCTATGCATAACCCATTGTGGATTGAAACCATGAAGTGCGTGAATGATTCAAGCATTCTAATTATTAATCACTATTCATTATGGGGCAATCTAAATGATCTCTCTTTTAATTTAATATTATTTTAACTTGCGTGTATGAACCGTCTGATACAAAACTTCACTAATAAGAAATGTCTTTTTCAACTCCAATAATGCGGAGTACGGCACGTATTTCATTGGATTTTCGGTCATTTTCACTTTCAATTACGCTAAGAATGACACGCATTTCATAAGATTCTCAATCTTTTTCAACTTCAATTAGGTTGAGAATAATTAATTTATATTTATTTTTAATAAGGTTGAGATTGACACGCACTTTCATATAATTTTTGTCAATATTGTACGAGTACTAATCAAATCAAGTGCTTTTTCAGTGAATCGTACTCCAACATATAAAGTGATATAAATTATGTAAGAAAATGATAACATTTTGAAAAATATTCTTTAATCTATGTAATATCAAGAAAGAGAATTTCTCTCTCAAGATAAAATGAATAGCAATTAACATTGAACCTCATACAAGTTCTTTTGTGCTTGCGATGACCGTACACCAGCTTGAAATCTAAGAATTATGAGCACCTGTAGAAAGCAGTTTCTCGATGGTTTGAAATGGAATGCAACATTAGCATTTCTCAATTCTTCAGTTAGATCTCTTCAAGGACGGATCAAATAATCATGCTCAACTCAGAAGAACCCGAACTGACATCACCTTAATTGAGAAGTTTATTTTCTTAATCTTAAGTGCACAATCTTTGTTACATGTATGCAAAACAATTTGTGGGGTTCTAATCACATGGAGTGAGTAATTAATGATTTCTACATTATAATTATTAATCGCTTGAAGTGATTTAGTGAGTCACGATATGTGTCTCTTATGGAATTACTTGTGAGATAAGATAGATGTGACTTAACTAGTAAGAAATGTCTTTTCAACTTTAACTGTATTAGAAATAATTGAGCATCTTATTGAAACCTTATCAATATTGCACCACAATTAAAAGAGTTTAGTGGGTCAATACGAATCAAATAAAGTGCTTTTTAATGAATCAAATTCTAATTTATTTTTAAATTTTAATGAGACATTACGAATCAAATTATGTGTTTTATTGCATGAATCGAATTTGAAATTTTGATTTGATGATGTAAATTACCTTGAAAGTCACCACGTTTTAAAAAAATATTATTTAAAATATATAATGTAGAGAAAAAGAATTTCTCTCTCAAAGATGAAATCAATAGTCACATTTTAACCTTGCTTGTGTCTTCCTTTGCTGCCAGCCTTTATCTATCTCATCATTCAAAGTGTTGATGACCTTGTATGCCAACTTGAAATCGAAGAATTATGAGCACAAAGGCAATTTATCTATGTCCTCCAATCCTATGTATTGTAGAAATAAGCAAGAAAGCAAAATAATGTGTTTCTTAAGCAATAATTAAGATCCATTGTTTCACCATACAAAGAACTCCACAAACTTTGAGAAAGCTTAGCAACCTAGCAAAGTAGGTCCCAAAAGTGAGGAATGGTTGAATTATTTAGATGCCACTTATGGCGAGATACTAAAACCATTGGCATTGCTTAAAGATGATTGCAATTTTACATAGAAGTTAATTAACATCTCCCTAGATTCAGGAGCTGGAATGAAGCTGTATCAGCAGTTACAGGAAGATGAAAAATTCTGGTATTCTCCAGATTGACCACTCACTTCAAAAGTGAGTGAATTTTCAGCTTGTTGATCCATGGCCCCTGCATGGAATCAGGATCATCAGGGCTAAGAGCTAGTCTTGAGTAATGTAACCACATTTTGTATTGAAATATGAACATTCTTCTTACCCAAAAGCATGTAAAAGCAGATTGAGATTGAGTAGCTATGTTGCAGGGTAAGGTGAAGTTTAACAAATAACTCACGAACAAATAGAACAAAATTGCTAAATGTTGCTCATATTAAGCCCTCAAAATGTCAAACTACTAATTTAGATTCCTCCACTTTATTATCATGGAAAGAATCACCATACTTCAAATTTCTTGCAACGTTAAAGGAATGTGCAACAGCAGCTTCAGGTGTCCCAACCAGAATGCCATGTCCTAGGTTTTGAATGTGTTCACGTGACCCAGTGCACTTGACAACTCTGAAATATAGATTACAAAAGTTCGATTAGAAGCTATTTTAAAGTTTAGATATCAATATTTATGTGATTGATGCTCTCATAATAGAATTCTTTTTTTCCCATTACGAAAAACACGGTTCCATGATGCATCAATACCAATGCCACAGTAACAATATCAAGTTAACGCTCGCCAATAAAAAATAATCAAGTTAATGCTTAGCCAGACGATCTACATCAGGATATATATCTTCACAAACACATGCAGATGCAGACATAAAGCATATGCAGTTGCAACCAGGCAAATAATAACGGCTGAATAGACATGCCTGTGGGGCACATACCATGGTAGTTATGGCATTTAGCAAATTCAACTATAAGCTAGAAACTTAACAAGTCGTTAGATAAAAGGGACTCTAGTGCTATTTTTCAACCACAAACCTTTGAATTTCTTCAGTAATTGTGGAAAGTGGAGAAAGAGGTATGCAGGGTCTACATTTCCTTGCACATCAATCCCAGTACCCAATCACTTCCATGTTCCATATCTACAGTCCAATCAAGTCCAATGACATCAACTCTAGTTCCTTTCATACACTCAAGGAGGCCACCATTTCCGTTAATGTAGAGAACAAGTATCTTAGGGCATTTGCTCCTTACTCCATCCACAATCTGTAAGATGGAATAAGAACCAAGATTCTATTATCTAAAGCAATATCCCGTCAGAATGAGAAGAAACAAATATAAAATCATACAGAACAGAATAGGCTGCTACTGAATTGTTGTCACAGAAGGAACCATGGAAGGATGGGATCAAAACTACGGGTAATTATGCTTCTGGTCCCTAAATGATGTGCATACAGCATTCAAACAGTAAAAACATTACAAATTTATAGTAGCTAACTTTAAATGATATTCTTTCTTGCAGGAAACCAAGGTGATCAATGTGAGTGAATGCATTGTTAGAAGATCAAATATTGCAGCTACCTTGGTGTATTTTTTATGCATTCAATTTGTTATATCATAGATCAATGATAAGTAGTTGCTAAGCAAGAAGGTCAAAATAGGTCAGTAAGTAAATAATATGGTTCTGTTCCAACATGAAACAAGAATCTTAAAGATAAGAAATGATTTGAACCCTGAGAACATGATCTGCTGTCATTCACTCTAAACTCAGAGCTACAAAAACAGACGTGCATTTTGGTTGATAAGAACAGTCTGTTTGAGGTGTAAGAAGGAAGGGACAAATAACGACCTTATCATTTCTAGTCTGAAATTACCTCTTTGATATAAGGCTTAGATCAACACTCCCACATATCCAGGTGGTAGTTGTCCACCCCACGAATCAAATATTTGTATGCAATGAGCCCCAGACTCCACTTGAAAAATGATGTAGTCTGAAATGGCCTCAGTTAAATGTGAGGGAAGAGCTCTTAATATATGTGGTTCTGTATGGCACATAATCTTTATGATTTTATACGTTCTAGTGGTTCCCCCTTCAACTATATATGTGGCAATTGTCCAAGGTGCTCCAAGAAATCCCAGAACCGCAGCTCGACCCTCAACCTATGTACACATATCATGTTAGAGAAAACCTGGAAGACAACTGAGTAATGTATACAAACAAAAAACCCAGTAAAGATATTGCATGTAATGGAAAAGATTGAATTACCTCTTGCCCCAAAATCTTAAGGGATTCCCCAACAAAATGAAGTTTCTCCAGGTCAATTGGATGCAATACCTTCAAGCACTCCTCTGAAAAACTAGGTTTCTGAATGACAGGGCCTCTCACTTGTTCAATATCAAATGGAACACCAAAAGCAGTAAGCGGTGTAAGTATGTCCGAAAAAGTTATTGCTGCATTTGGATGGAAGGCTTCCCAGGGCTGCAAAGAAGTTTTCACAATAAGATCAGTTGTCTCTGACCTTTCTCCAAAGGATGGGTACTTCTCTGCAAGCTTTCTGTAGACAGCCATATAACTTCCTGCTTGGCACATCATCCATGCTGGAGGCTGACTTATAGGTTCCCCTCTTGCAGCCTTAACTAACAGTGGGTCTGAATACCATACAAATGACAAGAAAGAGAACATGTAACCCACTTCCAGTGATAGGCTTTTTATCAAACTTTTCTTTGAAATAAAACCATCAAAGACTGTAAGATCAATAATCTAATCCATCACATTAAGAATAAATTGTGATCCTTCAAAGTCATTTAAGTGATAAACAAATTCAGCTTTTGAAATTGTGACTCAGAGAAGACATTCAACCTAAAATATTAGGCAATTCAATGTTAGGGTTTGCAAAAACAAGGCACCATTGGTGCTTTAAACATTACTAGAAACACAAAATTTTAACATAAAACAAACCTATTTCAACCTGCAAAACTTGATTCTGGCCTACCTTTCACCCATTTGAATTTTCAATTTTTTATGGCACATTGGATGTTAGCCCCTTAGCAGTTAGCATTGCATAGGTTTAACCCCTAAACTTGACTCAAAATCAAAGGCATGTAATTAGTGGGTACAAACTCTGCTAAGCTCTTGTTGGTTGGATTTTCAATTGTTCAACATGAGATTGCTTGTCTCATGTCAACAATCTTCCGTGACATGACAGAATAATTTCAAGTGACCACAATTCACAGAATTCAGCTTCCCACTAAAGCATTCACTTCCAAATTAAATCCCTTCCACATGCATCATCATTGCCAAACTATACAACACAATTCACCAAGCACCAACAAAGAGACTCACTCTCCGTCTTTTCCTAACTAGATTCCTTTAATGAGTCAAAGAAATCAAATGACCCTTTAATTTGAGAACTAAAAAATTACAGTAATCACATAAACAACAAACAAAATCAACCCAAACCAGAAAGAAGAAAACAAAAAACACCCCATTATCAGATTCTTTTAACAAAACGCAGTTACTTAAACTAAACAAAAAATGGAAGAAAAAACCTTCATGAGATTAATTCTTAAACATTACCAGGAGAAGTGAAGAAGAGCAGGATACAGAAAATTTCTTGCAATTAAAGCTCGCTCTTTTAGGAAACAGCACAAAAGCTCCATTGAAGCTACCATTATCAGGGTACAAATGAAAATTCGAGCTCCGGGATTTGAGTCTAAGAAACTGCACGCACTGAGTATGACAACTAGTTACGTAAAATGAGAATTGAAGCTCAGAGAGAAGAAATTTTCCAACCAAAGAATCGAAATTTGTTGGTAAAAAATTGTGGGTATTTGGAGACTGATGAAAAACTCACCTGGTTGGCGACGATAAGCTCAAATTGTTAAATGATTTTGAGGGAGAGAGATGAAGTTCGCGCTCTCTCTGTTCACTGCCCTCGAGGAAGCGGCGGTTTGACTCAAGCTGGTAAGCTCAAGTAAAGGCTGTGATGTCGCCACGTGTGATCCCTAGATAGAATGCCTAACCAGATCAGGTGCCCCTAATTGAAATTTTGATTAAACTTGGTTTTTTTCTTTTTTTTTTGGGAAACGATTAAATTTGGTTAATTGATATTTGAATTATAAAAGGAATAAATTGTACAAAAATTAAAAGAAAATTATTTTTCACGTCCTTGCAAAGAATGCCATTAAGAATAATTTTAAATTTTCGATTCATATTTTGTTGGTTTGATTAAATTTTGATTAATCAAATTAACTAAATTAACTAAATTAATTGTATTTTTTTTAAAGAAAATACCATTGATATTTCCAAATATATATATATATATGAGAAAACTGTTTTATAACATGAACTGTATACCGTTCGTTTTATAAAATTACCTAAATA